CGTGGGTCGCGCGAAAAACTAGAAAAGAAAACATGGCACCTAAAAAAGAGCTGAAGCCTCCAAGCCATTGAGAACTTGTTTGAAGATCTTGCGTATGCTTGATCCAAGTGGATGGTTGCTTTTTTTAAGCAGCCATAGTCACACTCTGAACACACGAATTCAGTAACCTTCTCATTCACCTTCATTCGTCAGACTCTCAGATGGCTCGCCATCGAGGACATCGAACGACTTCTGGAAGACTCCGTGGAGGCCGAGGGCGCCCCCTCCGCGGCGCCCACGGCGCCCGCCTCACCGGGCCTGGTGCCCGGCGCGCTGGCGCCGAACCGCAGGCGGGAGACGAGAGCAGCAGCCAGCAAGGACATCGCATCAAAAAAACACCATCCATGTATACGGAAGAACGACCTTAGGTTTGGGGTCATGAATGAGTAATAATATAATATATGAAGGTATTATATATATATAATATATATTATATATATATGCATATTCCATATATATATATATATACATGGTTGGTTGGGGCATAGAGTTGGGCCTTGGTGGATTCTGCTGGTCTTTGGTTGCCAGTGGGGTAGCCTTTTTTCTTTTTTCTCTCAAAGATTGGCCCTCGGGGTCCGCCGAAGCTGACTGCCGGAAGCGCGCGGTCTCCATGCGCAAGCACTGCTGGCAAGTCTGACGGATTCCTTTGTCGGATGCGGTCCACGAATGAATAGGGGGCTCCTGGCCCTATACCACGAACGGAGCGTTCGGACGCTACGACGCGACGTTCGGGGCGAAACGGGCATCGCGAACCGAACGGAGCATTCTTACTAGACTAACCACAACCACAAGCACCACCTCCCACCACCACCAGCAACAACAACAGACAACAAGACAATAATAATAACAACCAAAAACAACCAAAACGCAACCACGCAACCACTAAACAACACCAAGCTAGTAACAAGAAGCTCAGAAGCCAATGAAGGCCTTGACTTCGTGCGATGAGTCGTGCGACGGCGAAGCCCCAACGCTCCGTGGTGGCGCCTTTTCATATGGCTTGCATTCACCGTCCAAAACCACAAAACATCATATAGGCCATATATCCCAGACACGACTAATGGGACTGCCATATATGCCTACATTGACCCCTCAAACCACCCCAATTGATCGGCATATATGGCAGTCCCATGGAGTGTCTGGGTATTAGCTTACAGACAAAAGCGCGGAGCGTTTGGGAAAGTGCATCTTGTCAAGGACTCGTCTCAACTCGGGTGTTGCGAAGACGAGTGATTGGGGATCAGAGTTTGGAGAGTTCACTCGATGCACTCGATGTGAGTATTTCTGTGTCTTCCGCGCGGGAAATCCGTGGAACCACGCTTTGGAATCGAGCAGCCTAGGCCTATGCCTTGCAAGATGGGGGGCGGTAGGAGCGCCTGTTCAACTTTCAAATAGCACAGGTGGGGCAACACGTTGAGCATGCGCCCTCCAGGCCATTCCAGGGTGGCCAAACAGATGCCAGATGCGTCGGCTGTATTTGACACGATGGCCTACGGAATTGGTTCCTATTTACCTGGTACGTCAAGTGATTCAGATGGATCACATCCGAAGTGCAGTTTTTTTTTCCAGGAAGGACTAGATCATCAAGGGCAGAGCTTGGTACAAGTGATCTTGGTACGGGAGAGTGAGGATAATTCGCAGACTTGAACGGCAGAACGACCGCAACGGCGGACTTTCAACATGACAAGTCCCTGGTGTTGAAAGGAAAGTCTGGACAAGGTCCCGTGGACACCGCACCCCCTGCTTGGGATGTCTTTTAATCGCCCTTTAGAGGTTAATAGGAATATCCATGAATCACTTCTTGGGGGGGTCCTGGTGTTTGCCTGTGTTTTACAGCTTTATATAGTCTTTATAGTTCTGGGCAGCTCAATGGCGTCAGCAGCTATTGCCACGTTGTGGTTCAACTGATGTCAGAACTGTTGCAGATGAATTGGGTCCATTGGTCCGGAAGTCCAAAAGCAACCTTGGAGGTACGTGGACCTGTGGACTACCTACCCTGAGGGTATGTTTGCTTCAGCGCTTATTTTACCTCCTTGCAAGGTTCTGTGTGCAACCTTGTGCCCTGGCCAGCCACTGGCTGTTGAACCTGATGATGTACTCACAGGCTTCAAGGTCTTCGCAGAACCCCAGAAAGGTCAGGCTAGGGAGCCCTGTACAGCGGATTCTCATTTGTTTTCGCTGCGAGGTGCGTGAAGTGCTTCATCCAAACCGGTACAAGGTGCAACCTGACCCCACCAGCGACCCGCAAAACCATGAAAAAACAAGGTTGTCACATACAAACACCATGTTTTTTCCTATAGCGAAAACAAGGTTTTTTGATGGTTTGTGGCCCCACCTGGTGACTTCCAGGTTCCCAGTTGTCCCGGATTCACGAGACACTCCTAGGGTGCAACGCGCTGCGTGAGCTTCGGGCGTCGCCAGTCTGGAAGTGGGCCCTCTCGATGTCGGTGGGTGCAGTGCGCCTGCACGCTCCCTGACGCCCACGAGTCCTGCACAAGGTGTGGGGATCTGCAGATGGTGGTGCTGAGCCGTCTAGCGCCCTATGGGGTTCCCTCCAATCCTCAAAAGGTAGGGACAGACCCATCCCTGAAATCCCCGCTAGGTGAAGCGTCCTTTGGGGACCAATGGGGTTTCCGGTTTCGCACCAGCAACGTTCAAGACATGGGCTGCCACCAGTGCCACAGGCCTGTTGTGCGGACATGCAGGGTCGTTCAACTCCTTCCAAGCGCCCAGAGGTAGCATTGATTGATCCTCCCAACTGCCGAAAGAAGTGGAGTTCACCACCTGTTTTGGTCTTCGGATTTCATGGTTTTTCATGTTTTTTCCAGGGGTCAGGGCGTCCACCAACCATGAGGACGTTGGAGTGAGGATTGACCAAGCCTGAGTCCCACACACAACCATTGTTCTATTTGGGGTTGGTCCTATTATCATCTGCAACAGTCAGGTTTCACAAGGAAATCACGATTTCAGAGATGTTGATGGCATGCAACCTAAGATCATACCTTCTCAGAAAGTACTTGGGCCCTCTATACGTGTTTTCATACAGAGAGTCTCCAATACTGCTCCAATCACCTTCTCAGAGGGGAATGTGGATCCCATGTTTTCCAAGGATCCAGGGCTATGTAGGATACAGACTGTTTAGGCAATTCTTTTGTTGGGCTAGACTTATGGATGAGCAATTACAACCTTTTGGTTGTAGGGGCTGTGGACTTTTGGACCAACTGCTGAGCACGCGAGTTCAGGTCAAAGACTCGGAACCGTTCCACGATCTTGAATTCCCAACTGAACAAGTTCCTGTTCTCGCTTTTTACGCTTCGGGTGTCACAACCCTGGTGGGTTCACTTTACACATTTTCCCTGACACTGATACTGCTTGTAGAAGCACTTGCAACTTTGTGGATTACAGTGACCCTTGATTGATCCCTTGACTGCAGTGAGTGCAGGGCTTGATTGATCCCAGCAGGTTTGAGTCAACGAAGCGACGACGAGTTCGTTTTCTTTCGGCTGAACTCTGCCGTGTTCTTTAGCTCGTTTTTCAGCGCCAGGTGCACAACGACAGGCACCTGGGGGGGTGCGGCTGGGTGGGGGCACCCAATGTAGACCGTTGATGAATAAAACCTCCCTAGGCCTGTAAAACTGTAAAAGCCATTCTGGTGACCGGAGGGTTTGATTCATCGATCAACTATATAGTCTACACATGACTATGAACTCCCTTGCACGGTCGACCTCATTATGGTTCTAGTGGTTCTAATTGAGATTATCAAAATAATTCACACTTGCTCTCCTGCCGAAAACCCGCGCGAATCATTGTCAGGAAGCTAAGAACCCCGGGTTGATCAGATCAGTGTTTGCTCGTGTTTGCCCTGCTCGGTCCGACTTCTGGTGAATCCTCAGTCCTCGTGATCGCCTTTGTGATCGGAGGACTCCTGGGCCTTGATCGGCTTGTCGGGTCGCTTGGAAGACTTGTGCCGCGATCTCCGCCGCAGCGTGGAGCCTGGAGGCCCAGCTTTTGGGCCGTGCCGTTGGCAGCGCCGCACGTTCGCGGCGCTGCGTATGTTGAAAGGGTGGACTTCTATTAGGCAGAAGGCTTTTGGTATATATATGTATTGCTTTTGGTATGTGGCTTTCATCAAGGTATATGGTCCAGTTAGTTACTGATTCTGAGGACCTTGATATACCTTGATGTTCTCGCTTGTTCTCGCAGGGTCGAGACATTGTTCTTGGTTTCGCCAAAAAGTCGTGGGTCATTTTCAGTTGCGTGGTGCTGCTTTGATCTTTTAGGCATTTTGAACATGTTCGTTTTGGTCAGGTAGCCCACCAGTCACCAGACAAGGAGGGAAAAGTTGTTGACCTGCAGGTCTCCTTTAAGGAAGGACGGAGGACCACACCCTTTGAATTCTGCAAGAAAAGATCAGAATACAGGACAGGAGCTGACCCAATTTTGACATATGCATAATTCCGGTGTGATGGGCCTTTATTCCAACCAATCGAAGCATGACTTGGAGGTAGGATATGGAAGGATGATCCACATCACTCCAGACTTGCAGGTTCCAATATGATAAACACACAGATGAACACACTACATTACCAGCATCCTCCAACAATGAGTGTTTCGATGTTTTTTACTGGAGGGTTGTTGGACCCTAAGAAGTCTGAATTGGTGACCTGTTGGAGGGTGCTGGTATATACATAATTCTTACATTTCTTGCAAGCTTGTTGATGGACTGGGCAGCTGCCAATTTTGTGCAGCATGTTTGATGGACTGGGCTTGCCGGCTTGCCACGAAGGAAGCTGCCTGACCATTATGAATAACTATTACATAGTGTTGACTCAGCAAACTAGTCAGCAAACTATAATCATTCGTAAGAGCACCCTCCAACCAGGGATGACACTCAAACATCACTGCTTGTGGTTTGGAGGTGCATTTCAAGACGAAATCTCTCAACTAGCCACTTTGGCTCAATGGCGCTGGCCACTCCTCATGCGAGTTCCCCCCCCTCCCCAGCTATCGCCCGTGCACCATGCGCGGCGCGGCCCGCGCCGACGCCCGCGGTGAGGGCGTCGCAGGCGTCCTCTCTGGCTGCTGCCAGCGTGGTCACGCTGTGGGTGGTGCGGCGCAGAGGGCGCAGCGCCACAGCACCGCAGCGGAGCCGGGTGAGTGCCTTGGCGCCGGAGCTGGTGAAGGTCAATGAGGGCGTTGAGGATGAGGATCAAGAGGATCAGGAGGTGGCAAACGCCAGGAATACACGGAAGTTTGAGCTTTGGCCTGGAATTTCTGATACGATGGTGGATTTTGGCACCTTGGTTGCAAGAGAATGGCTGTGACACCAGTGACGCCTCTTTCCACTTGCAGATAGTGCTCTTGTGACAGTATTCTATCTTGGCCTTTGCATCTCAAAACTCGAACAAAGCTTAGACATCCTGAATTGTTTGGCTTCACCCCAACCAATTCCTCATCCACTCCCCTATCATCAATCCATATGGACATCCATATGCAATAGACATTCATATACTGTATACAATCCTACAGTCAGTACTTCTCACTTCTCACCACTTGGCTGTTGGACATCCATTTCCATCCCAGTTTCCATCCCAGTTCCCTCCACCTCCCTCACCCTCACCGCGCTTTTACACCACACCAGGCGGTCTTCCCATCCCTCAACGCTTGGCGGATGCCTTCACCGAGCGTGGCATCGTGGAGCCCTCACCGATCCAGGAGACCCCGGTGAACGCTTTGGGCGGTGGGTTTCATCGGGCGGTCGTGCATGTTTCAAGCGATGTGCAATGGGATGTGCGTTTTTTTGGGGAGTTCTGTTTTTGTTCCACAAAAGAGGGGTGAAGCAGTGAAAACGCGGTAGAGTTATATCACCAAGTGGCCTGTATGCGGGCGTTACAGGTCAGTTGGACCTCGTAGTGGAGTTGATCATGGAGTTGATCAAGAGTACTCAGCCTTCGGTTTTCAGGACCTAACGAAGACGTTCAGAACAGCCTTTTCAACCCACTGCTCGCAGTGCCTGTCAGCCGATGGATTTCCCTACCGCTATACCCTACAGGTCCAGTCTGGCCCAATCAAATCAGGTCACGAACACCTCATTGAGCAGCAGTGTTTAGGCGCATGAGTTGGTCCTCCAGCACCATGAGGTTGTTGACTGGGATAGGCAAGCCTGGTGAGTGCTTCAACTCTGCTTTTTCACTCCTAAACTTATGCTTGAACCAAGCATCCTCCAGCTAGGAGGATTTGGTTCTGGGAGGTACGCTCCCTGACCTGTGCACCAGGAGCAGGTCATGCCCAAACTGGCGAGGGGTGAGCATGTGATCATCCATGCGCCCACGGGTGGCGGGAAGACACTGGGCTATTTACTGCCCTTGCCTCTCGTCCTTGTTTTTTGTTCTTTCGGTCGGTGTACGTGAAGTAGAAGTGCGGCTACTTGCATTTACAGTGGTTTCAGAGTAGATGGGGTCCCATATAAACCACCTCTTGGGGATTGTGCCATCTACTCTGAATCCACTGTATATATATATATATATAATCTCCTTGCTTTTGCCGAACAGGGTAGGTGACGAAAACCACTGAAGTTACGCGAAATTAGGTTGGCATTGGGGAAGGGAAAGAGCTTCAGTGTTACAACAGTACGATGCAGGTCTGAGCGGCCGGAAACGGAGCATCGTTACACTCGGGTCTAAAGCGCCCAACTCAGGTTGACTCAGTCCACTGGTAGACGGTACTCGTAGATACGTAGACCTCCCAAGATCTCCCAAGGTCTCTCACTCTTCAGCGATGTCCGATGTTCCTTCTAGTGGAGTGCGATGTCCTGGGTGCCTCGGTTCTCAGTCCACTTCTCAGTCCACTTCAGGCTGGCGCGGCTTCAGCCCACCATGCACGTGGGCTTGCAGGCGTTACTCTTCGTTCCTACGGCCGAGTTGGCCCTCCAGGCGACGACTTCAGTCGATTTTCCGGGCCCCGAAGACGGGGAGGGCTTGGGTGGAGGGCTTGGGGCTTGGATGGTAGTTTTAAATTGGTTTAAACAATCATTGAGATATGTATATAAGATTATATAAGACATATCTTATATTTTTTAATTATGTATAAACATATATTTATGCATGCATGACACCTTCTAAAGTCCTTTCTTGTGACGCTTTCTATTCTTGACGGCCCTCAGAAATCACCCATGGGGGAAACCTTTGGGGGGCGCGAAAACAACATGAAAGTCAATAGTCCAACCCTTTTTGGGGGGTCAAGTTCTTTTTACGTCAAGCCTTTTCAACATACAAGTCAATCATTTCTGTACCCCTATGTGTCCAACTCTTCTTCTTGGTCAAACTGGGTCAAGCCTTTTCAATGTCAAACCATTATGTATAATATATCATCCACGGTCCGGTCCATTAACATAACAATCCCAATTACGCTTTGAGAGGGTGATGTGTTCGAAACTTTGGCAGAAAAGGCTTAGAGAGCGCCTTCCAGGGTCCAGTCGTTCCGAACCTGAGACAACTGGAGCGCCCTTTTTCGGCGTCCAACTGACGTCCGATCGGGAGAGCCTCGTGAGGTCGGCCGAGAGCTCAAGTGGCTCATCTACGTGCTGCTCGGAGGGATGCGCAGGTCGACCGCGGGCGCACGCAGGTCGCCGCGAGGGAGACAAGAGTGAAGAACAGGTGACATGAAGACATCTCCTGGGACATAGGTGTCAAAGTGTCAGCGTCAATCCTGGGACATGGATGGTTCCGGTCGATGATCTTCGATGCACATTTAGAAGGACTCACCATCCAGATCAGCCCAGCTCCAGCCCATTCTGTTTAGCGCGTTTGGCGCTTCTTCTTCTTCTTCTCGGTGCCACCGTCCAACTTAGGGGCTTTGGACATGTGAGTGGTCTAAGTTGTCAAGGTCCAACAGGAATTCGATGGTCAAAAAGACAAAAACAGACTTGTAAACAAAGCAACTGAATAAAGTCAGCAACTTCTAGAATGTTTGACACCTTAATTGCTGCTGAAATCATTGTGTTGCTTAGTTTCTCGGCGAAGTAAAGAAGCTGAAGAGCTCGAGGGGGGGCGTCCCTTTTTCGGACCTTTTTGTTTTATGTTTGCCAGAGGTGGGTCGCATCTCGATCCAAAGGCAATAGCTGAGTGGCATGGAATCGGACTTCTGCTGCTTGTTTGGTTGGAAAGCTCTTGCAAAGAGGGTGGTGCTGAAAACCATTAACCACACGAGCTGGGATGGGCCGTGGGCCTGCAGGCGCCATTTTCATAGCTCATCAGACCACATCAGACCTGTCAAACAATCAATGTCCCGCAAGATATGGTTTACTCTCAACGCGGCTACCAGATGGGTTGCTTATTTTTTCGCTTCCACCCAAGGCTGGCCGGTGGTGCAGAGGGCATGTGCTGGTTCAATCCGCAGGTGCCACAGGAGATCGCATGCCAGGCACTGGGGACGGATTTCGAGCCTGTGTGGGTCTTAAGTGATCAATAAGCCTCATTCCAAGCTCCCTGAGGCTCCCCAAGCCTTCCGGGGCTCCGAAAGAGCTCCTAGGAGGGAGCACTTTGGACCCCTTCACGAACATCATCCGCCCGGCCCAAACATCTCGGAAGGCATGAGGTGCTGGGAACTATTTTTTCCCTTGAACAAAGGTACTTCTTCACCTACCCTGAAGCCATCGCTACGGATCTTCACCTTCAGGAGGTTGGCTGTTCAGTTTTGAGGGCTGAAGACAGAAGTCTGACTTCCTTGCCGCGCTTGACCTCAATAGTTGCCTTGGCCTTTCTCTTTGTTCTTCAAAGGAAGATTGTTCTTTTGTGGTTGGCAGGGCCATGTTATCCACTCCCTTGATTCAATATAGGATAGAATGTCAACATGTGTTAAAGCAACCTATACGCAGAGGGAGGAAGGCTAGGGTGTGGTTACTTCTTCCTGGACTGTATAATGACCGAAGCTGCTTAGCGGACGGTGACAAAAAGCACCAACTTTTTGATCTTCTTGTGTGCACCCAAGGTGGCAGCAGATAGGCAGATTGTGTCAATTAGTGTCAATTAGACTCATTAGACTAAAAATGGAACACCTCTATCTATTTTGGAATCACCTCATCCAGTAGCCATCAGCAGCCAGTACAACAGAGCGAATCCTCGCCCCTTCACTTCACCCAAAGATCCTCTCCTATCTTGATTTTCCACATTGGATCCCATCCATCCTCCCTCATCACCCGCATCCCACATCCATTCCTCCCACCTGCCTCCCTGCACCGGGCTATCCCTGCAGGTCTTACTGTCTCGGTCCAACTTGTGGGACGCGGTGCGCCAGGACGCCTCCATCATGGTCACCACACCAGGCCGGGCGCGGATCAGAAGACGCCGATCTCCCGGGTATAGAAGCAGATGGATGGATTAATGGACGGGGATGCCGTGGTTTGAAAGTCCATTCGGTGAGTGGATGGAGCGGATGGTTTGAATGTCTTCTTGGGTTAGCTGGGAGAGTTGATTCGATGGATGTCTAGAACAGCGTCATGGAGAAGAGGATAGGATGCTGGGGGGAAAAGTGGAGAACTTTGGGAACAGTTTCATAGATTGTAGTACTCCTGCCTTAATTAATTAATAACACACATGATGCATTATAGTTGTTTTGCTGATTTCGTTCTACTGCAGATGCGCAACTTGTACAGTACATTCTTGGTGCATGAGAAAAATAACATTCCACACATCCGCCATCATCCACCCATCCAGAAAATCCACCACAAATCCACCGTTTAAGTTAGGTGAAAAGCTACCACCAAGCGACACGATCCACTGTTACTATATATATCTAGCTTTTGCTCAGGAGGAAGCTAAGGAGCCAGGGGTATCCATATTCCCCTTTCAACAGGGAGCCGAGAAGCTACAAGGAGTTCCCCAACCCCTTATTAGATTGTATATATATATATATATTATATATGGATTTTGGTCGCTAAATAGATAGAAATTGGTTTTCCAATACCTGTTTAAAGGAATTATGTTCTATATCTATTTGGGTGTTTGTTTAATTCTGAACTTGATGCATCATTTAGGCCTGTAAACGGTCACTGGATGGGACGAACAAGGACACGTACTGAAGAAGCTGGTAACGGAGAAAAAGGTCACGTGTTTGCTTTTTTTAGCAAGGCCATGGGTCGGAGTAGAGTCGCAATGCTGGATGTGCAGGTTTGATCCGCTCAGAGCTGCAGATGCTCAAGTGGGAGGCGGAGCCGGGGTGGAGCGAGAATGGTCCGACATGGTTTCTTGGAGCCCGGCAGTGCAGGGGTTGATGGCTCCTCGGCTCCGACGGTGCATGGACACAGTTTTGTGGAGCTCACCTTGGTCCCTTTGACTGTTTGAGAAGGCGTACTCTTAGAAGTCTTAGACCCTTAGTCCTGTTGATTTAGAAGGGGTTTCTTACTCAACGACTCAACTTATCAAACAGCAACCTATGGACGGCCAAGATCCGTGTTGTCCCCTGACAGTGGTGGAACGTGATGGTTGTGGTCAAGCAGGAATCTCAATTCCAAATGGATTCACTGACCTTCGATGGTTTTGGGACTGTTCTTCCCTGGTGCCGACATGAGCCGATCGGAGGAAGCCGACATGGTCCTCCATGTGCTGTTTTTGCGGCTCAGGAGGGGCCAGCAGCATCCAACCAGCAACTACCGACGACCCACAGTACCTCAGAAAATGGAATAAAGAACATGACCCTATGAGGCTCTTTCCACTGCCGATGCCGAAGAGACAGATGGGCCCCTTCTTGGATCTGGGGGCCACTCCCAGACACGACCTGTTTGGGACTGCCATAGGACTGCCGCCCAGACAGACCCCCCAGTCAACCACCCCAATTGATCGACAGTCCGACATGGCAGTCCCATTAGTCGTGTGTGGGTAAGAACAGGTACTTAGTAAGCTTGCACCGCACCGTCTGTTCCGAGGTGTTGAGGTGGACGCTCCAACGATACGACCCCTACTAGTCAGCCACCATCCGAGTCGGGGTTTGATCGATCTGATGTAGTTTGTTTTTCCCGGCTTCCTGAGTGAATCTCCTGGAACTGGACAGAGCTGTCCGGTTCCCGGTTGTGGGTCTTTCCCGGTGACCACGTGACGTCGCCGACGTCGACGAAGTGGCGACGTCACCGGCAGGCCCGGCGCTTCTCGGAGACCTTGAAACTCTTCCTGGCCAGCAACGCTGCTCGACTGGTTTTTGTCTCGGCGGGGTCAAGTGCTTCTTGATGCCGATGACATGGAGAGTTTAGGAACTGCATGAGGTGTAGTCGATGGTATGAACTGACAATAGTTGGTAACATCTTACCTCAGGTGTTTGTAGGGACGGACTGCGTCAGCTCACTGAGTTGCACACCATCATCACCGACGAGGTGGACGCTCTGACGCCCTTGCAATCCACCGTCGCCAAAGGGCCGGAGAAGGTGGGTGCCGCCGAGCGGGTGTCCGCCTTCGTGCTGGACGCAGCTTGGACGCGGAGCTTGCTGAGTCGTCTCGTGGGTTCGCTTCTTTTGGTGATCGAGTCTCAACTACTAAGTCACTTAGAGTATAGGCCCTTTCTGGACTGCACGCAGACAGATGTTACTCATTTGTTTGGGGTATCCCACCAGGGTTCTATGCAGATTCAGAGGGGCGCCTCGGAGTTTCTCGGCTTTACAACACCCAGCCAAACTAAGCTGCGGCCAAGCCACTTCCACCACCCGACCCTGAGGAAGTCCGCAGCCGCTATCGGAACCGCCCGGTGCAGCTGGTGGTCTCCTCCGCCACCGCGAACAGCCGAAAGGTGGCGGCTTCCCTGGACGCTTGACTGGTTGGTGAGTAAAGGGGTGGCCGGCTAGACCTGGAGTAGTGTGATCGATGGGTATGTTCCCTGGGTCACAATTCGGTGCGTTTCCCTATGGTTTAAGCTGGTTGATGCTTTGTTCCCAGCTGGACTCCTGGGTCAATTAGGGTGACTTTTTCCTAAGAGTTCACCATGGGGAGTTGTTTACAACATGTTTGCACATGTTCGACAGCAAGGTCGGCATTAGTGCGGGGGAGCAGCTCGTTGGAGATCGAATTGCTATGAAGGGATGACATTCGAACGACCTGGGGTAAAAAACCCGAAGGAGTCCAACCATGCCCATGGTCCCATGGTAGGAATTTAACTATAGAATATTTATAGCAAAATCCCAGGTGGGGACTACAAGTCTTGTCCAGCGCACCCCTGGAGGCTATAGGGAGGTCTTTTGTTCAGAACCCAGAGCTAAGTTCAATGGTTTCAACACCTGTTTCAACCCTTGCTTTTTGGAGTCCCATTCCCACTTCAGTCACTGAGGATCGCCTCATTCAGCGCAAGTATCCCAAGCGCCGGGACCGCGCCCGGCGCCAACCGCCCGAGCTGGTCCAGGCCGAAGCCGAGGTGCTGCGGGTGGCGGCGCCCAGCGGCCAGACGCGGCGCCGCGCCGAGGGGCCCGACGCGGCGTCCACGGGGGCCTTTGTGCCGATGCCCAAAGGCATCCGGCACTGCGTGGCTTGGAGTAGTTGAGGTAGGGGGGAACCCATTTGTTTTGGAATAACGCAATTGGATTGCCAAGAATGAATCAATGAGGAGGAAGGTGTTTGTTGCTGAGCTGGTCATTGCAAAAGCAAGGTGGTGGTGTGCCAAGGCACCGAAAACGCAACTCCTTTGGGACCAAGGACTCGAGTTTTGGTGTTGAAAGGCATTGCAATTGCGAGACTGCAAGATATTGCAAGCTTGAGGGATCCACTAGACCAACAATATCTGCAAGAACCTGACGTAGGCAGTCGAACTTGGCATGGGCTTAATATGAACCACGCAGGGGTGTGTAGAACATGGATGTTTAGTTTGGCTTTATTTAATAGGACTTTAGTATTTAGGCTTTGTGCTTCTAGCACGGAGATGATCTTGAATTGAAGAATCTGTAGAAAACAGGTCTAAAGACTGCCAAGGGGCTGGATGACTCACCTCCTTTCATAACTTCCAGCATTCCGCCTGTGAGATGTCCATTGGTGCTTTGATCACAGGACCTATAGAGGACCTATAGAACCTAGCAGATTTCTGGAGTACAACCCAGAAGTTCTATACCTCTTCCACAGTTTGCGCACGCGCGAGTGCGTTCGCGTAACCCAGTTGGCATTGGTGGAAGACCGAGACAATGGCCTGGTGATGGGGCAGCCACGTGACCTGGAAGCAATGGAGAGTGTAGTCACCTGAAGGAACCCTGGTGGAAGCCTGGAAGTCTCGGAGAAGTGAAGGGTCTGAGTCCCTGCCTTTTTCAGGCCCTTTGAGGAGGGCACGGACCCTATAGCCTATGTATACCTAACTAGTTCTTCAAAGCATTTCAGTTCGATATACATATCTGGTCGGTTTGAAGTCAGTGATGCCTGCAATAATATCAGATCACCTAAAGAACACTCCTGAAGAAGCTAGGACATGACTCGTGCCTTGTTTGGGGACGGACACGTCTCAGACCAGCGGCAACCACTTGAAGCAAGACAACACGTCGAAGTGCTTCAGGCAGATGTGCCGTTCAGAACATTCTCCCGACACGCCCCTCGCTCAAAGGATACCCCAAGGAGTGCCAAGGAGTTCCAAAATGAAGGAACTCTTCCAACATCCATCCCTAGGGATTCAAGTACCTTCTCAAAAGGTACTTGGACCCTCCAAACCTACCCCAAACACCTTCGGAGAAGGTACTTGGATCCTTAGGGCATGTGAAGTGCTTCAGACTCATAAGCCAGATCCACTGCCTGGATCCGCCTATAGACCGCCCGGCCTAGATCCATTTGCTCGAACAGCTCACCTTCTTGGAGGGCAGGGGTATGGATACCCCAGACACGACCTGGGACTGGGACTGGCAAAGGACTCCGGATCAGTTCAGGTCATTGAACAGGTGGTGGATTTCCGGTCGTGCGTAGCTCGTGAGCTCGCGAGAAGTGACGCTTCCCGGTGCCGGGTTCTGTGCCTGGGAAACCCGTGCCCAGGTTACACGGCCATGGCCAGCATCGTGCGGAACTTGAAGGGCTCGGGCCATGTGTTGGTCTTCGTGCCTGAACGGGTGGCTTGGAGCACGGGTTTTGTGCACTGCTTGGAGGAGAAGATGCTCCTTTCAGAAATGGGGTGCCATGATAGAAACTGGGGCAGGATGGGTTAGCTTCTGTGGGATCGAATAGCTGGCATTCCAAGAGCATCACCCCCTTTCAGCCGGATATTCCCACGTTTTTCGGCCTGGGGGCTTGCTATTTCGGTTCCAAACCGCTGGCTATTTCAATGGTCAGTGCATGGTTCGTTCGCACTTGAGGTGAAACTGGATGCTATGGTGATGCTGCTGAAGAGGGCCGGGATCGCCAATACCTCCAAATATCGATCTGAGGCACTGTTGGGTTGGGCGGAGGGTTGTACTGTACCTTTCAAGAGGTCATTTGTGTGAAAGGGCCCCGTACACTCCCACTGGGTGTACTGGGTTGGTTGTACTGGGTGTAACCTTTCAACAGGTCCTGTTTCTCCGAAGTTGTACACTCCCACTTTTTCCTGCATACAAATTTTGCAGTAGCATGAACCCCAATCAGATCGGTTTTGGGGATTGGGACCTTTCAGCTAAGTCTTTGGTTGGGGTGGTGTTGCTGTGGCTGTGTTCTCCATGTAGATCGGGGGTGTTTTGACATAACCCACACTGAAGGGGTGAGTACAAATAGAGAGCCACTGACGCTATGCGAGGTGTTCTACCAATACAAGATCAAGATCATTCAAGATCACATCCCATCCAGCGCATCCCACACATTGCAAGTTCATAGAAGTTCCGGCTAAGCCAGAGAGGCACTGGCTTGGATCGATACTTCAGATTTGTTCAGATTCCGGCGCACCACTTGGGGTCTCTTGATGTTTCTTGGCTTGGCAAAGACCCAAGTAGTGTACTCTGAGGTTCGTTCAGTATGAAGTGACCTTACAGGACCCGTCACCTGGGATACCTGTGGGATAGTCTATAGGCTTCTTGAACCTCCGTTGATCGGCGAACCACCTTCATGGGTCCAACGTCCAACGTCCGATGGGTCCAGCACCGGCTTCTGTTCGAAGCTGAAGATCGGATCAGCGGTTGGGAACAGAAGCTGAATGGTGGCTGTTCTGTTTTGGAAGCTGTTCTGGAAGCACCGGCTTCTGTTCTGGTTGGTGGAAGGCCCTCCAACATTCAGACATGTTCACTGCAGGGAGCAAAACCGCGGCCGGGACGGACGGAAAACCGCGGATGGGACGGGACAACCGCACACGGTTCAGGTGGGGCTGGGCGTTTCCACCGAGCAATTGATGGATAACGATTTCCAGCGGAAGCCCAAAATGTGCCTTGGAGGGATTAGTGGGTCCCAGACCTACCTGGAAGGATCGACATGGGTACAGACCCCCCGTTTTGTGAAGCCGCTTTGAGCGAGGCCATGGTCCATGTTCCGTTGTCACCCTTGGTCTTTAGCTTTCTTCTCCACAAAGCATTAGTTTTTGTTGCAGGTTTCTTTTGCGATGTCACACCCAGATGAAGTTATTTTGTGTTTGGTGTCGCAAGAAGACAGCAGCGAAGACATGGTGTTACCATAAGACATGGCAGCAACGCCACCCGACTCATCAGCTCACCACATGGAGACCACTCTGGGTGGTCTCCATTCAGAGACCGAGGGTCCGTCCTCGCGATCGACGGTGAACAACAAACCCGTCGACTTCGTCGACCGGCACGCTGGTTTGGTGCCTTTATAGTTGTTGTAGATGAGAGTTGTTTGTGGTGTCGCAAGCAGCGACGAACAAGCTGAAGAATCAAAACATGTACGTTGTGAAGAACAATACATGTTTGAAGGCCAAGTCCGAGGCATTAGTTTCCATCACCAGACCCAGCAATCCCCAGCACCTTAAACAGAGGGTGCCAGCTGCACATCAGGTCTCACCTTATGTCGTGACTGACAAGGTAACCAATTGGTAAACGACCATCTTGTGAATTGTGATGCTTGTTTGGGAATGTTTTGGGAGGGTCTATTATTTGCATACCACATGTATGAGGTACAACAAAAGCCTTGATTCCAATCTGGCACTGGCGCCGTATGCACTGGCCAGGTCACGGGAAAGCAGCCTCTTCAGAGGCTACATAAAGGCATTTGCCTTCAGGCCTCCTCCTCCTCCTCCTCCTCCTCATGTACACCCGGTCAGATTTACATGGAAGCTGAAAACGGAACCTTTTGGAAGACGATGTTCCTCTCTGCGTCGTTGAGTTTTTCGTATGACGGACACCTCGCGCAGGTCTGGGAACTCCTCCCGGGCGTAGACGCCGACGGCTCCGACTCACCGGCGTTCCGAGGAACTCGTCCTATCGGGGCCGCCCCGCGGAGCAGAGCATCAATCCACTGCTTGCGCTCCAACAGTACCAGGACGGCCTTCCGCATCGTTGTTGGGTGGCGGCGGCCCAAGCCCATGCTGGAAGCAACAAGGGGGATCCGTGTTGCTGGTGGTCGGATCCGTTTGGGTGCGTTTTTGTGCCCTGAGAGTTCAGATGAGAAGAGTCCAGAGAGCGAGTTCTATAGAGCCCTGTTGTAGACTTGTTTTTGTTTTTCAACTTGACTTGTATTTGTTTCTTGGGGGGTCTTTGATTCGCCACATACTCTGAGACTGACTGTTCACTGGTTGGGGCACGTCAACTTCACCACCACTTCAAGAGTGATTTCGCAGCTCAGTTGGGACCTGGACAACCCTCCGCAGCGGCGGGCGGTTCCTTCATATCAACACCATTGGTTTGGTCACTCATCAGGCACAGGGGAATGAGGATTCGATGGTTTTGCAACCATGCCCAAACCATCCATGGGACTGGAATAGTTATAGCAGCATGTTATATCGCGCTACATTGACCCCATGAACATGACCCCAATGTTGTAACTATATATTCCATACATGGATGGTCTGAGATACTACGTCAGCTATGGTCAGATAGTATCGATTATTACTACAGGGAGCATTTGTGGTTTGATGTGGCTTGTGTTTATGTCTTGGGGGAATTTTAGGGCGGGTTCCTGTTGCCTGCCAATTTGAGCGGAACAGGCCTGGGCAAGGTCCCGAGAACATTATTTGTTCCAACTGATTGCAAAGTCCAGGAGTTTGTCGATGAGATAGACGAGTCAGGCGCGGGACTGAACAGTCAGGGCAGGGTTTAGTTAAGTGAATCCATGTGAGGCTCCAAAAGATTGGGACATGATAGGGATCTCATAAAGTTGACACTGTAGCAGCTGCACAGAATGTTTTCATTGTACCTCAAAGTGTAGCCCCAAGGCCTTTGAACTCCACCTATTTACTCGGTGGTTGGGCATGTGGCCTGTTGGAGATGGTTGGAGGGCCCAGTCCTGTCTTGTTTTGTTCCTTATTTAAAGGGCATGCAAAGCTTCCAAGCGCAGGGCCTAAGGCAAGAAGAGAACAGTGATAAACATGATAATGATAAACATATAGCTGCTTGTGGTAGCCCTCCTGACTTATGGTATTCTTCTTCTCATTGGACATCGAACACAAGGTTTTTGGTTTCATATTCAAGTCATCATTAACGCCAGTGGCCGGGATTCTGGGACCTCAAAAGACCGAGCCATTCCATACCCAACAACGGCTGCTTTTTCATCTCCCGCGTGCAGAAGACCATTAATTGGCCAAAAGGTGACTCATCACGAATTTGCGAATCACTCATCCACAGGATGTTGGGAGTGGCTCCTTTCCTCCAGATGTCGCTCTTTCGCTCTTCTTCGGAGTCCTCCTCACTCCTCAGTTTGCTACGTCGCAAAGAACGGAGCCGTGCCGTTGAGGCGACCGTCGAGTGCTGGTGGCCAAGACCGGCCAAGGACGCGGGATCGACCTGAAGAATGTGAGTCATGCCTCTTGGCGTCGATGGCGGACCCGGTGCCCTTGTGCGGCAGGGCTCCCGGCAGGGCTCCGAACGGCTCCTGGCCCATCGAACCGACCCGGGTGACCGGTGGGACACAGACCGACCTGCCCAAGACCATCCACCCCTGGCCCATCGAACTGAAACGGAGGTGGGCCGGGCCAGGAGCCCAGCCTGGGCTGGTCACCTGTGGATGATGCACGGTACAGCCAGATGGAGGGCCGTTCTCGGGCCTTTCTCGGGCTGATCCGGGATGGACAGAGTGCACATGGATGGACACCTTTTCAGTTGGGTGTGACCCTTTCGGCGTGGCCAATCTTCAGGCCACCCCTCCAGTGACCCCCTCCAGTTCACCTCTTCAGAAGGTCCCTTTCTCACATTTCTCCTACCCAAGCCTAGCCTCAGCGGTATCATCCCAGCAACGCTGGAAAGCTACGGCGGCCTGCCGAAGAGGTTACCAGACTCTGGTGACCTACCAACCCCCAACAGGTCCAGTCTGACCCAGGTCCAAACCTGCTTCTGCACATTGAGTAGGTGTTTACTAGCATATGACATTATAATATGACAGTGACCAACTCCAATGAAATGAGATCTGTCGTAGGGACACTGTTAGGGAAAGCTAGCAGTTGGGACACCAAGTGAGCCAGCTCAAAAGAGGTGGTCCTCTTGGAGATCCCGGGCTCCTCGGGTGACTATTTGCATCTGGCGGGCCGCCCCTTTGGCAGAAAACACTTTGGGGGCGCAGGGCAGGTGGCGGGCGCCGAGCTAATCAGGAAAAGGTGGATCACCTGCAAGACCTCTATTGGGGGGTTGATGGGATTGGTTGCCCCACCCAAATTAGAATCTTAGAACCATCTTTTCCAGGGAGTCATGTTGAGGATCTGATGTGTGGAAGGGGTGGATCCTGGAGGTGTGTGTTTTTCTTGGGAGTTTTTGGGAGGGCGAAGCGGTCAGTGCTTGGCGCTGCTTGGCTTCGGGGTCCCGACTCGGAGCAACAGGAAACCGCTGTGTGGAGGCGAAGAAGTTTGGATCTCAACGGAAGTACGAAGTGGTGCTACAATGCCTGCGGCGGAGAGGAAAAAGACCAACAAATGATACCATTTAATATCATTTATACAATAGGTTATAGTATATATATATATATCTATGCCTGATACCACATTTGATGATACAATTTCATTATACAATTTGATTATAATATAGGTTATATGTGAATAGAGATGAGGTCCCAGTATAATTGCTAAATGGACACTTGCCATAAACATTTGGCTCAAGTGCCCAACCAGGCGAAAAGGGGCTATTGCGCGCGAGCTTCATGCCGAACTAAGGGCTTGAACGGGGCCAGGGCACGCTTTCCATCCGTTCGCAGGTTATCAGCCGTATCCAGACTCCTTTGAGCTGGGTACGAGCTACGGCCTTACACAACACCATCTAAACGCACACGCATCGGATAGATCAGTTACCCTCAGTCACTGAAGATGGACCAGTCCGACGCCAGCACTGCATCCTTTGGAGCAGCTGCTGCGGCAGCAGATCGGGTGAGTGCATCCCACAACTCTAGTCCAGGTACGATCGAAGCGGAGACTCTGACAGTGGTGAGAGAAGCTGCGACAGGTAGAGCACGAAGTCGTTCCCCGTCAGCGCACTCGACACCACCGGGGGGGACACCGAGATCGGGCCGTAGCCCTAGGGAGACAAGGAGGAGAACTGACACCGGAGCTGTGAGAGTGCTAGCATTGGAGGATGGGTCAACTGTACCAGTGCCATCGGACAGCGAAGCTGGAGATGGAGCAAAGGCAAGCACCGACAACCTACAACTAGCACGGGCCGATGGAGACCTCAATGCGAAGTGTGCACAACTACTTGCCGAAGTACATATGTTGAACCACCAAAACGCATGGATGGTCGAATGTGAGCAGAGACAGAACCAAATTATACAACACGAGACCGAAGTCCACGAAGTAGTGATGACACATCTCGAAGAATGTTATGTCGAAGGATATGGAAATCAACGAAGAATCTCCCAACTTACAGAATCCAGGGACTGTTTGCTCTCAGCAGCACACGATTTGCAATACCAGATTGACACTGATCGTGTGGCAATGCGGGATCGTCTCACCCAGCTAGGGGAGTACGCTGATCGCAACAGCGCAGAGATGGTTAGTCAAGTTGTGAACATCGGCACGGAAGAGATCCAGGCTATATCGGCGGAAAGAGATCGAGCCGTAACCGAACTCATGACTGCAGTCGCAGATGCTGAGAACATTAGGGATCTGTATAGGCAGGAGATAGTTGGACTGCAAAGGCAGAGTGTCAGGAACAAACACGAATATGCCGAGGAGATGAAGATGAAGGAAGCAATGTATACAAGCAAGATCAAATGGTTATCAGAAGAGAATGAGGAGCTCAACAACCGATCTTATAACCAGGACAACTTCATCATGACCATCAGAGAGCAATTGAAGAGGGCGAACGAAGAGGTGGCACAGGCGAGGATTCAAGGATCCAGTCGACCGTCTCAAACGTACAACGCCGAACTCAAGAAAGCCGAGGTCAAGGTGAACATGTTGGAGGAGGACATTCTACGTAAAGAGAGGATGTTGAAACGTCTTCAGGAGGAATTGATCGAATCAAGTGCAAGTGAAGCACAATTGAAGGTCGCACTGGAGTTGAAACCGCAAGACATGGGATCAGAACACAATGTGGAGAACGAGATGATGACCAAGCTTAGAGCGGAACTTGGACGTACCGAAAAGTCATTAAGGTCCGAGGAGAAAGAGGCGATGGAATATTACGAAGGTATGATGCAGAACCAGCAGGACATGATGGAATTCGAAGCGCATGCAGCACGGCTCAGAGATGAGAGGAATAAGTACCGGAGGAGATACGAAGAGGAGCGCTCGAACGCTGAGAATGCAGCCACGACCGAGTATGGTGCCGCTTCATCCTCTAGCTCGGGTGGCTCCAAGATATCTCGGAAGGAACATGAGAAGATCAACATCCCTGCATGGCCCAAGATACACGACTTGGAGGTTTGGAAATCCCAAGTTGTAGCGGCAGTCGTGACGGCATCGGGCGACGAAAGACAAGAAGATTGGATCCAGTGGCTCTCGGATGCCTTCAAATCACCATATGACCCATTTCTGCTCGAGACATCGGGCGAAGCAAGATTCGCTAGCATAGATGCTAAGCTAGGCATTACCCTACACGCGATTATCCACGCAGCAGGTGAGAGATCTCATGAAGTACAACTGAAGGTGAGGCAGATGATGCAGAGACGTGCGAGAGGCACAACCCCGGGAATGGTTAAGGGACGAGAAATGTTGGCGTTGATCGTCGATAGCTTCCGGAGTGCCGACAACGTCGATGTGATGTATGCATCTAAGCACTTATTCGATCTAAAGTTCCCTGGAGATAATCAACTATCCAGATTCCTTGGACAGTGGGATGAGATCATATCAGGTATGGATGCGGATGACATGCTTCCTGACAAAGCACTCCGCAACCTGCTTTGGGACAAGATTAAAGATTCCAAAGTTATGGCGTTAGACTTGTCCGTGTACGACAACATGCTGGATAAGGATCCGGATAAGACCTATCAGAAATTACGGGAGATTATGGCGAAGTGGATACGGAAATCAATCGAGACCACAAATAAGAAAGAAAGGGAAAAAGCTTTTGGGAACCTCATGAAGGCTACACCAGCGGAGAAGAAGGACCCTAAAGCGAAGCCCAAGAATACCAAGGCCGATCCACCGAAGGACGCCGCTCCAGTACTTCCTCAGAATAATCCGAAGGATCATCAAAAAAAGGACAGGAAGCAGGATCGCGGAAGGTCAACCACGAAGAGCCCGAAAGGGGACCGTGGCAGGTCAGCGACTCCAGCAGATACGTCCAAGATAGGATGCGCCTTCCACTTCCATGGGAAAGACGGATGCTCTAGAGGAGACAAATGCAAGTTTAGTCATCAAGAGAAGCACAAGAGTTCTGCTAAGAAACCAGAAAGCCTCAAGGGTGACAGATCAAAGAGTCCTGGTGGCAGGAGCACTAGCCCTAAGCCAATGAAGGATCAGGTCTGTTGGAATTGGCGGAAAGGATCGTGCAAGTTCGGGGACAAATGTCGTCGCCAGCATCACGCTGCTCCTGCTACAAAACAAGAGGCTAAAGGCAAAGTCAAGCCCAAACCGGCTGCGCCAGCCTTCATGCTTTGCGGAGACATCGAGAGTGATGGCGAGGACGCGCAA